CTATAATGCCCTCCCCACCCTAAGGAAACTGGTCTCCTGTGTAACCTCCTGTGAGCCTTCCCAGAGCCACACACACACAAACACAGCCACACACAGAATCCGGAGCTCCTCCAGAATCTCGAGATGCTTCATTTGGCTTCAGCTGTAGCAATCATAGGTAACACTAGTGGTAAAGAGCCTGCCTGCCAATGCAGGAGACGCAAGCGACATGGGTTCTATCCCTGGGCTGGGAAGATCCCCTGGAGGAGGGCATGGCAACCCACATCAATATTCTTGCCTGGAAAATTCCACAGACAGAGGAACCTGGTGGGCTATATATAGTCCATGGGGTGCAAAAGAGTTGAACACAACTTTTCAGAACACAGTCTGAAGCGACTCAGCATGTAGCGATTACAGTCCATGCGAGCATTTGCAGACTGTTAACTCCTTTGATTAAGAACACTGAATTTCATTTCCGAATCCTTAGTACCTGATGTAAGTGCCCACCACACATAAGCACTTGGCAAATGTTTGCTGGGTGAGTAAATGCTTTTTCGCTTTGTATATCTTGCAAGGCCACAGGCTCCGCCAGCACACAGTTAAGTACTCTTGTGCCTTCCTCAGTGGGTACACACACAGGCTTAAAACGCTGACTGTTGTGGGCTCCCTGTGTCCATCAGGAAATGCTTTCCTAGCTGAGATGGGTTCTTGCCCACCTTGGTCCTCAGGAAAAGTGCCAAGACCCAGCCAACGTCACCAACAAGGCCATCACTCTCCGTTCTGTGCCTGTGGTCAAGAGGGCAGAGCCGTGATTGTCTGCTGTCCATGACACGGGCATCTCACGCCTTGGCCTTGCTGAGACCCCTCCCCCCCAGCCATGCCCCCCTCCATGCCTGTGCAGACTTGGCTTCCATGGAAGGAGAGGTGCCAAGCTTGGGACATATCAGAACATGTGATGGAACGCTGTGTGCCTGGCCCCAGGGGCCTGTCCACTTCTTGCTGGCCTTGAGGCCCGCTTGGCAGTGACCTTTTCCAGAAGTGTTTTGTTGTTGTTGTTTAGTGGCTAAGTTGTGTCCGACTCTTCATGACTCCATGGACTGTAGCCCACCAGGCTCCTCCATCCGTGGGATTTCCCAGGCAAGAATACCTCCCACCATTCTATTCTGTGTATGCAGAAATAAAAGCTTCTTTTGCTTGGATGCATAGAAACTGGAGGACATATTCAAGCCCATAGTGAAAAAGTCCCTAAATCAGGAAGGGAGGTGTCAGGACTCAGCACGTGCTGGCGCATACCCGACACAGTGCTCCCAAACTGGGAGCATGATTTTCAGAGGGACCTGGTGCACCCTCAAGAGCATGCTCAGGAGTGAGCAGCCCATGGCTGCACTCACTCTGAACCAGCTCAATTGCTCACCTGAAAAGCAAACACTGAAATAGTCAATGATTTGTGTAATGTTTAATATTTTAACAGTAAGCAAACAAGCCTTTCCGCGGTAGAAAGAGCTTTCCCTTTCTTTGCTGGCTCCGTCCCGGGAGGTGTGAAGTGAGCCCAGTGAGAAGTCCTCAGACGCTCTTGAGGGGCTCTGCGAGCTGAGCCTGGAGTGGACCCACCTGGGCTGGTTCTGGATCCCAGCGCCGCCCCCGCCCCCACCCCCCGTCACTTCTGGGAGACTCTGAGTGCCGGGGCCTCAAGTGTTTTGAGGAACTTGAACTTCCTTTCCTCGTGTACATTTGCTTTCGTAACCAGAACGCTTCCCAGATTTTGTAATTCTGGGAATCTCCTCCTTTAAATTCCTTTTCCACTCAGACAGAGCAGACTGCTGGTCTGGCATTCAGGGAGACTTCAGACAGAGCCAGGCCAGCACAGAGCCCTGTGGGGGGACAGGAGTGCACACGATGGGACTCCTCTGGTGGTCCAGTGCTAGGACTCTGCGCTCCCAAGGCAAGGGGACCGGGTTCAGTACCTGGTCAGGGAGCTAGATCCCATGGCTGAAACTAAAAAAGATCCACATGCTACAACTAAGGCCCGGTACAGCCAAACATATTAATTAAAAATAAATATATGTATGATGTCTGTTATGGTAGTGAGGCTCCAGGGATATGCTTTCTTTTTTATTTCTAGTATTAGGTTCTGGGAGAAATATGTACAGATTTTATAGTGGTGTTTGCTGCTTTTAGGGTACACAGGACTGTAGGGGTTGCGTGGTAAAAACAGACCAAGAGGGTGGGATCCTTGCTGTGTGATCCTGCGACAGTCGCTTCCTCCTCATGTGAGAAAGGAGGAGGGTACCAGAGCCAGGGCTGGGTTAGGAAGTTCTGAAATATAAAAGAATAGAAAAGGAAAGTCTCTCATGGTTTGCGGTACTAGGAGAAAGAACACAGTGCTTCTCCAGCATTCTCGGTTTCTGAGAACCATGTTTCTTTGATAGTATTTGGTTCTGCTGAAGTAAACCTGCTTAAGAGATCTCTTTTGCACTTTGATTTTCTAACTCAGTGAGAGGTGTTTTACTATTATTTTTTTAATTATGCCCTGGCGCCCCACCCCCCATTTGCCCAAAGGTGCCGGAGCGTCATGCCAGCGAGCCCCGGGCCCCTCCCGATGTCCCATGAGGCGTCCGTGCTCCCGAGCTCCAAGGTCAGCCCCCTGCACTCCAGAGGCCTGCCAGCCCCACCCCAGAGCCGTCCGTGTGGGGCCACCTCCTTCCAGCCAGACCTCCTGTAGCCCCAGAGGACGGCCTTGGCCAGGAGCCACTGCCGGGACTCAGGTCAGTTCCCCGGCATCGTTGTCCGGGGTTGTTCTCATGGGAAGCTGGCTGTCTCTCTGCCTTCCCAGCCCCCTGCGCCTGGAGAAGTGGGATTAAGCCTGGGGAAGTGTCCTTTCTTGGCCAGACCTTTCCAGAAAAGGAAGTCATCAACTCCTCTGTCCAGAAGACGTCTTTGAACTGTGACCTTTTCACCCTCCCCTCTTGGTCAAGGAGCGATCGTCTTGGCCACACCAGGCGCCCGTCAGCCAGCCGTGCGGATGACCAGCCCCCGTGGAGGCACCCCTTCCCCATCTTAGCCTGAACCAGTTCTCGAAACTGTTCGCAGACCACAGGCCTTTGTGGGTAACACTACGCGACTACTCTTTTATCAATGGTCTATGACAGACAGGTTTTCCAGCTTGTTAATTCTAAAAGAATTCGGATGACTTACTAAGTTGCTGCTTAATAGCTGTTCGTACTATTTTAGCTTTAATCGCTTCACATTTTAATTGTGCAGTTAATGAAAAGCCATATTTTAAGTTAATTTGTAAATAACTTCTCGCAGTTGTGTTTTCTTTTAATATTTATTGAGTGCCCTTTAAAGCATACATTTTGAGAAACTACCGTTAGACAGATACGGACAGCCACATTTCTTTTAAAGCAAGAGTTTAAATTAAAAATGAGCTTTCCTGAAAATGATTTTCAACTAACTGGAGACAGAAGTAAAACTGGCTGTTTCAGAAAGCAAACGAGCTCTCGCTCCATGAGCAGTGGGTCTGGAGGTGGGTTCTCTGGGCTATAGTGTTGGAGCAGGTTAACTAGGAAAGGATTTTCCAGCCATTTGTCCGAGTCTCCCTCACGTTCTGACCTGCCTGATAGACGCTGTTGGGTCCGTGTGAGTGTGGGGCCGGCTGGTCGCATGCAGGACTCTGCCTGTGAGTCACGGGCGCTTCTCCCCACAGGCAGGACCAGGAGCTGTGAAGGGCCCCTCTCTGCTCCAGCTGCGTCCTTGGCGTGGACAGGGACCAGGAGCTCTCGGGTCACCCTCCTCCGCTGCCCTCACCGTCCACCTTGGGTCCAGCCTCGGCCTTCATGCCCGCGGCTTGTAGCCGCAGGCATCCTGGGGCCTTCCTGAGCTCCTCCGACCCCCTCCTTCTCTAGAGGTTAGCGTGGCTCCGTGTCTGTGCTTCTCACACTGCAGTCTCAGAAGGTCGATCTCCCTCAGTCCAGGGAGAGCTTGATAAGCCTCTGCTCTTATTTCCACTGTCACTGTGTTTGGTGATCCATCTCGCATCAGATTCTCCCAGCTCCGCGTGCTGGATTTAAATTAGAACATTTGGGGTGGGATGGGGTTTGGGGTGGGAGGAGGCTCGAGAGGGAGGGGACATAGGTATACTTACGGCCGATTGACGATTTTGTTCAGCAAGAAGCACCGTGACATTGTAAGGCAGTTATCCTCCAATTAAAAAAATATCAACTTTCACAAATGACCTAGAGTAGGTTCTCTCTAGAGGAAAATGATCGGTGTTGTCAGGTGGAGGCCCGCAGGCCACTGCTCACAGTTGAAGCAGGAAAAACTGGTCCTTAGGGCTCCAGGCAGGAGAGCACCTGTGTGTCCTGCAGTGCCTGCTCCCAGGTCAGGGCCCTCACTGCTCCCCCAGAGCCCTCTCCAGGTCTCAGACATCAGCCCACAGCCAGGACTCTGAGCTGACTTTGCTTTTACTGTCCTAGGATGGTGGAGAGTAAAGTGTCAGGGCCGGGATTGCATCGGCCTGAGTTTCTGCCAAGAAACTGCACATTCAGGGACTTCCCTGGTGGTCCGGTGGCTCAGACTCTGCGTTCCCAATGCAGGGGGCCCAGGTTCGATCCCTGGTCAGGAAACTAGATCCTGTATGCCACAACTGAGATCCGGCAGATCCACATAAATTAAAAAAAAAAAAGAAACAGCGCATTCACATGAACTGAAAAGAACATGTGAATAACGTTCATCATGATTGCCACTCTGGTGGTCATGGTGCATCTGGTTCCAGAAGAAACTAAGTCAGCTTCCTAACAGGGCGTGTGTTCCTGGAACTCATAGAATAGGATGGAACAGACCTGGCGCCTCCTCCTCCGGGAGCTGGTCTGAGTCAGGCTGGGACACAAGCAGGTGCTGAGGGCCTGTGTCTCAGGACTGGACGGTACCCCCCCACCTCCTACCTTCCACCAACACCATTCTCGTCTCACATTCACCCTGACCCTGTCTTTGGTCCACAACTAGCAGCCTCTCCAGCGAGGATGGCAGTGCTCAGGCAGCTGGCACTGCTGCTCTGGAAGAACTATACTCTACAGGTGGGTCCGGCTCTGTGGGTGCTGAGGGGTGGGGGGCAAGGGGCCTGGTGGAGGGGCATCGGTGGAAGGGGCTTTGATGCCCCCTTACCCCAAGGTCCCGTCTCTCCCCAGAAGCGGAAGGTACTGGTGACCCTCTTGGAGCTCTTTCTGCCCCTGCTGTTCTCTGGGATCCTGATCTGGCTCCGCCTGAAGATCCAGTCAGAGAACGTGCCCAATGCCACCCTCTACCCCAGCCAGTCCATCCGAGAGCTGCCCCTCTTCTTCAGCTTCCCTCCCCCGGGGGCCACCTGGGAGCTGGCCTACATCCCATCCCAAAGTGAGGCCGTGCGCACAGTGGTGGAGAACGTGCAGAGGGCGCTGGTGATCAACCTGCGAGGTGTGGTGTCTGGGGGCCGGGGGTGGGGGGGTGCTGTGGGGGTCCGTAGCGCTGCTAGGCTCAGGCCTCAGGGCAGGGCTGGTGGTGTGGGAGCCGGGCAGCGGCTGGGTGGATCCCGCCACCCCCATCATGGCCGCACTGCCCGAATCCCTTGGCCGTGTGGAGTCTCAGTGTAGCAGGAACCAGGGTCGTGAGGGTCACGCGAAGGAACGTGCATGACGGTTTGCAGCCCCCAGCTGTTCTAGTGGGGAAGGCATCCACATACCCCAGCGCAGTTCTTTATCACGAGGGCGAGGCGTGTTTCCAGAGCCCAGTGCCGGGAACCTCTCCTGGGATGTGGTTTTGCGAGGGCGGCTCTGACAAAGGTCAGCAGGAAGCCCACTGAGGGACACCCCATGAAGTGTGCAGCTGCCCTGGCTGGGTCTGTGCTCTGGGAACAGAGTATCTCCCCTTTTCTCTTGCTCTTGGTTTGGGCACCGCCCTCCCTTGATCTGTACGGTCCAGTGCAGCCAGGAAGGGTTCTGCTTCCTCCCTGGGGGATTAAGAGTCAAATCCTTCACGTGAAACGGGGTCTGGATGAGAGAGATCCCCGAACAGACTATACGTTCACACCCCCTTGGGTTTTTAGAGCCCACTGTTACGGTTCTGAGAGAGAGGCTGATGCAGGCTGCAGAATTCAGGGCAGGGTGGCCGCCCCCACAGAGGGGCCGGTGACCACTCAGCACTGCTGCCGGCCCAGCTCCGGTTCTCAGCTTCCAGAAGCCCAGGGCCCGCTTGGATCGCGAGGTTCTGCCGGTCTTCACCGCAGCCCGTCTCTACCAGAAACAAAAGCCTCCTCGAGTCTTAGGAGAGGTTTACAAAGCACTTGAAAAACTCGGGAGTTTTAGTCCTTGATCTGAAGATGCAGTTTTTTCAAGCAGAGCAGGCGATTGGGCAACTTCAGGCGCCCCTTCTCCCCACAGCTCGTGGCTTCGCCTCTGAGAAGGACTTCGAGGACTACATCAGATACGACAACCGCTCTGCCGACGTGCTGGCCGCCCTGGTGTTCGAGCACACCTTCAACCACAGCCGGGACCCCCTGCCGCTGGCGGTGAGGACCCCAGCCCCAAGGAACCCAGCTGCTTCTCCAGGAGCCAGGCCGCCGGTAGCCACGGCCCCCTCCCCACCCGCATTCGCTCTGCCTGCCTGGGAACAAATGTGACTGTCCCCTGGATCCAGAAGTTTCAGAAGCCTCACCTGCCTGAGGACAGTGGCTGTAGACCGTCGCTGTGGCCCCTCTGTCCCATTACTCTGTAAAAGGCATTACTGATCTCCCGGGACAGAATCAAATAGGACAAGTAGGAAAGTCACAGATACTTGGAACTTGGTGTCCCGTGGCATTAGAACTTCAGTCACACATTTAAACAAACAAAAAGAAAGGTTTTCTGGTTCCCCCGCTGGCGTTAAGGCTGGGAAGCCGTCGGGTCCCCAGCCTTACACCAGAGGCCTGCTGGTCAGCGGTGATGCGTCACAGGTGGAGTTCCCGTTGGTGACGCAGAGGAGGGTGGTGATGGGTGGTGCAGAGACGCCCCCGGGCTCCCTGTGCCCCAGCAGGACCACTCCCTTCCACCCCCTGAGACCCAGACCTTGGTGGGGGCAGTGCTGAGATCGCAGGAATGAGGGTCCCCCAGCACCCCCACACTGGACGCGGACGTTCGCTCCTCTGGCCAGACCGCTCACAGCACTTGGTTTCGTCTTTACTTCTGCAGGTGAGATACCACTTACGCTTCAGTTACACGCGAAGAAACTACATGTGGACTCAGACAGGCTCCTTTTTCCTGAAAGAGACAGAGGGATGGCATACCACTTCCCTTTTTCCACTCTTCCCAAACCCAGGACCCAGGGAGCCCACGTCCCCTGACGGCGGAGAACCTGGTGAGGAACACTTCCAAGGGGCCGCCTCCCCTCCCTGGGTGCTGGCTGGCGACAGTCACGTGGGGGAACCCACTCTGCATTTCTTTGGAGGAAGGTTTTTTTAATAATCTTACTTATTTGTTTGTTTATGGCGGTGCTGGGTCCTCATTGCTGTGTGGCCCTTCCTCTAGTTGCGGAGATCAGGGGCTGCCCTTCCTCGCGGTGCCCAGGCTTCTCGTGGCGGTGGCTTCTCTTGTTGTAGGGCACAGGCTCTAGGCTCCCGGGCTTCAGCAGTCGCTGCTTCGGGGCTCTAGAGCACAGGCTCAGGGGCTTGGTGCCCGGGCTTAGTAGCTCCGTAGCGTGTGGGAGCTTCCCAGATCAGGGATGGAACCTGTGTCTCCTGCATTGGCAGGTGGATTCTGTACCACTGAGCCACCAGGGAAGCCCTGGAAGAAGATGTTTTATGAATATTAGATCTTTGCAGAAGAAGGGGAGCTTCCCAGGTGGCGCTAGTGGTAAAGAACCCGCCTGCCAATGCAGGTAACATAAGAGACAGGGGTTCCATCCCTGGGTCAGGAGGATCCCCTGGAGGAGGGGTACAGCAAACCACTCCAGTATTCTTGCCTGGAGAATCCCATGGACAGAGCAGCCTGGCAGGCTACAGTCCATGGAGTCACAAAGAGTAGGACACAACTGAAGTGACTTAGCACGCACGCAGTAGAAGGAAGACATCCAGTAAGCCTGGATTCTGAGAGACCAAAATAATCTTTAAAAACACCTAAGGCATGGTCTCTTGAATAAAATTTTTCTGTTTCATTTTTAAGGAGCTTCAATTTGCACAGGGTCTTCAGGGCTTGGTTCCGCATTTCCCTTCTCTCCTGCCCTTCTCTGTGTACAGTTCCATAGGCTTTGTAAGCTCTGTGCTCCTTGTGTAATTGTCCGTGACCTCATGGAGTCAGTGGAGTGTTTGCAGAACTCAGATCTTGGCTCTTTGTCCCATCAGGGTGTGTGTTGGTCTGTCCCATGTAACTCCGGCATGTAGTTGGCTTGTTTGTCTCCTGTGACCATGGTCCCATCTTAAAACTGAGTTTCTGGGCTCCAGGACTACGCTTTCCCCTCAGGCCAAGACCTCCAGGCAGCATCCTGGGTGTTTCAAAGAATGCAGAATTCCTAATTCCTAGGTCTGCAAGAGGCAGAACTTGAGTCTGATGAAAAGACCCAGGAATGTCCCTAAACAGAGCCCAGGACTGCAGGAGGCAGCCAGCCTCTGGAGATGCATTTCAGAGGCCAGGGCCCTGTCATCAGGCTAAAGTTCCAGGGAAAAAGTTTAAATCTGAAAGTGGAGCTGGGACAAGCAAGGCAGGGTGAAGTGTGTAAGGCCCCACAGTAGACCCCCAGGCAGGTCCCGGACTGGGAGGAGAAACCATGTCCACTGCCACGCCCACTGCCTATGGCCTGCGGCAGGAAACACTGGCTAGGGTGACCCAGGGCAGGGCTGTCCCTCCTGTTTGTGGGGACAATTTCCTAAGCTTGGAAGCAATAGAGGAAACAGTTCCCCAAGGAAAAGCGTGACAGATTTCACTGTGTACAAACTTGAAATTTGCTTAAAAAAAAAGAAAAGATAGAACAGCGATTTTAAAACAAGAGACTGGGAAAACACTGCAGCAAACGATGAAGGGTGAATGCTTCCTGTGTCATAAAGAACTCCTTAGTCCAAATCAGCTTAAAAAACCCTCGAAGACCCCGAGAGGCGTGGAAAGGACATGAACCTGGCACACAGCAGCTAACCCCTGCATGAATTAGGCCAGAGTTGTCCCCAAGCCCACCCCCAAGTGTCCCTGCCTTAAGACCCCTGATCCCTGATAAAGACACAGCCCCTGGAATAGCCTGAAAGAAGGAGAAAATCCAGATACACAAAGATATTTCCCACAGCATTATTTACGATCATTGAAATTTCAGCTGTGGGGCCGTGATTGATCACAGAGGGTAGCTGCTCGTCGGTGTTGAGCAACCACAGAGGTTGTGGTGGTGAAGAACCTGCGGCAGCATGCGTGGCCTCGTGGGGGAACCACATGTGAGCAGGAGCAGGCGGGGTGTTTCCTGGGGGAGGTGGCGTGCAGCCAGACAGACGCTGGCTCTCGGGCCAGGAGACCAGGGTCCCACTTGGCTGCGGCCCTTCCTGCTAGGCGGGGGCTCCACACCTGGGCCTCGGTGGCCCTGTGTGTCCCATGAAGACAGTGTTGCCTATTCTGCAGGGTCTTCGTGAAGACGAGAACTAAACCGCCACCCCACACAGCGAGGGGTACCGTTCACTGGGAGCCTGCTGTTATCACAGCCATGAAACCACTTTTAAGGGAGATGGCAGACTTGATGGCCTTGTGCTGGGGGTGGGCATAGAATTGCTTTTCTGTTTTCCAGAGGCAGCTGACAGTTCAGTGTCGGAGGACTTTAGGTGTTCTAAACATCACTCCCTATTTTAAGGACAAGGGTGCCCACGCCACCCAGGCCTGCACCCCATGTCCCCCAGGGCTCGGACCTCAGGGACCCAGGCCTTCCTTCTGAGGCTGTGCCCACACTGCCGTAGGCTCAGCCCCTAGCAGGCTTTGCTCTGGACTGGAATATGTATCCTCCCTCTCTTTTTCACTGTAAAAGTTTTATCACGGACGCCTGTGAGGAGTCACACGGGGCCGGCAGAGAGGGATCACAGAGCACACAGAGATGTGTAGTGCTGGCCTCTGGTCTGTGGATCCTGCCTCCCTGTGAGATGGGAATGAACGCTGCTGATCAGCTGGTCTCAAGGGAGCGAGACTATTGTCGATTATCTCAATAGGTCCTTAAAAGCGGGCAAGGGAGGCAGAAGAAAGACAGAGAAAGATGTGACGATGCGGAGGCCAGTCAGAGATGCTGCCTGGCCGGCTGGGAAGGTCGAGGGCTGGCTCAGGAGCCAGAGAGGGGTGAGCAGCCCCTGCGCACGGCAGGCCTGCAGGAGACCTCATCCAGTCACCAGCTCAGTGCCCGTGGCGCTCCGAGCGCCCACACTGGGAGTGACGTCCCCCACGCGTGTCAGCCACATGAGCTAGAATGCCCTCTGCCCCCGCACACAGGTTACATCCGCGAGGGCTTCCTGGCCGTGCAGCATGCAGTGGACAGGGCCATCATGCACTACCATGCCAATGCCTCCACGCACCAGCTGTTCGAGAAGCTCACTGTGATCGCCAAGCGGTTCCCTTACCCGCCTTTCATCTCCGACCCCTTCCTGGTCGCCATCCAGTACCAGCTTCCACTGCTGCTCATGCTGAGCTTCACCTACACCTCCCTCAGCATCATCCGGGCCATCGTGCAGGAGAAGGAGAAGAAGCTGAAGGTAACCCTTCTGTGTCTGCTTGGAGGGACCCTGGGTTTAGGCTCTGTGCGGCCGCAGGTCGTCCTGTCCTGAGTCCTGCTGTCCAGCCTGGGCAGCTGCTGGGCACTGAGGTCACCGGAGCAGCTGGGCATGAGGCTGATGCCCACAAGGTTCAGCCCATCTTGGGCTTCTCTGAAATCAAGCCTGGTCCATCCAGATTTTTACCACCCTGATAAAGCACCATAGTTCATATGCTGTACACTGAAGACAACCTGATGGCTCAGACAAGAAAGAATCTGCCTGCAATGCAGGAGATCCGGGTTCAATCCCTGGGTCGGGAAGATCCCCTGGAGAAGGGCATGGCTACCCACTCCAGTATTCTTGCCTGGAGAATTCCATCGACAGAGGAGTCTGGCGGGCTGTTGTCTATGGGGTTGCAAAGAGTTGGACCTGACTGAACAACTAACACTTTTTTACTTTTCATGCTAAAGACTGAATATTGAAAAGACAGTGTTCTGAATACATCAGGTTAAGTAAAACACATCATTGAAACTAATCTTGGTTAAGTAAAACGCATCATTGAAACTAATCTTACTTGTTGCTTTAAACTTTTTTTGGGGGGCCTTGCCATGAGGCTTGCAGGATCTTAGTTTCCCAATCAGGGATTGAACTCAGTCCCTCAGCAGTGATAGCACAGAGTCTGAGCCACGGGACTGCCAGGAAATCCTCCCTTTAAACTTTTTTGATGCAGCTGCTGAAATTCCGAATTATGTGTGTAGCTTGCATCCTGTTTCTGTTGAGACAGTAGCTCGACGGGAGACAAACGTTCCCCTACGTGGTGAGCAGGAAGCTAACTATGGGTGTAATCAAGGGAGGCCAGAGTGTCCGGCTGCTAGGCAGACTCTGGGGGCCAGGGAGGTGTGTGAGGTGCATCTCACTGATGTGACGTAGCTGCAGACAAACTGGACCAATAGCATCCCCTGCAAGCTCCCAGCGCTGACTCTGCCAGAGTCATCAGAATTTACGTGAGGTTTTCCCTCTAGCTCAGCTGGTTCTTCCCTGTTAGCTCAGCTGGTAAAGAACCTGCCTGCAATGCAGGAGATCCTGGTTCGATTCCTGGGTCAGGAAGGTCCCCTGGAGAAGGGTAGGCTACCCACTCCAGTATACTGGCCTGGAGAATCCCCATGGACAGAGAAGCCTCGTGGGCTACAGTCCATGGGGTTGCAGAGTCAGACACGACTGAGTGACTAAGCACAGCATAGCACTCCCTTTATTTAGCAATGTCTGCAGTGCCAGTGGAAGGGCATTTAGAGTGTTCTTAGCAGTGCCAACTCTGTGATTATTGGAGCTTTTAAACTGCTGCAAACGAGAGGCTCGGGGAACTCATGAGGTGGGTCCTGTTCGCTTGGCGCCTAAATAACTTTAAGAAAACAGTGCAGTGTTGAAGCAGTCAGCTGTGGGCGAGGACACAGTTCAGGAGAAAGTGTTGGTGTGTGTACACGCCCCCAGATACATAGATGGACCCAGCATGACCAGATGCTGAATGATCGCTGAACCCAAGGGGTGGGGGTGTGGGTGGCCACCACTCCAATCGTCCATTGGCCCATTTCTCAGGCCATTTGAAATTGTGAGTAGGAAGCTGGGAAATCAGCCTTGCTTGGTTGCTGGCCCAGGAGAGATGCTTCATCGGCCCTGGTCCCCCCTTCCCCCAGAGCAGCGTGGTCCGTGCAGATAGACGGGCCTGGGTCCACCCACTCTGCAGGCCCACTGGGCACCTGCGGCAGGCAGGGCTGAGGAGCAGGATTTTTAATCTTAGTTAGTTTCAGCCACATGAGCCCTGTGTGGCTGCGGGCACGGCTGTATGGGCCAGGGCAGGCGCGGCGTGGCAGAAGTGCTCTGGGGCCCGGGGAGGCGGCGTGGAGCAAGTGCAGCAGTGCCCCTGTGCCCCCAGGAGTACATGCGTATGATGGGGCTCAGCAGCTGGCTGCTCTGGACCGCGTGGTTCCTCCTCTTCTTCTTCCTCCTCCTCATCGCCGTCTCCTTCATGACTCTGCTCTTCTGCGTCAAGGTGAGCGCAGCCCCGGAAGGGAGTCTGACATGAAAAGCAGGCATCCGAGGTTGGGGGGTGGGGGTGGGCAGAGACAGCCGTGGCACTCCCAGGGAGACCCCCGAGACTCTGCCCTGGCGGGAGGGAGAGCCGTGTGGCGCCTCCTCCTGCCCGTCCCAGCTTCGATGTTGGAGACTCCCCCCCGGAGGGCACGGAGGTGGCCCTGTGTCCCTGTCCCCCGCCACCACCTGGCCCTGCCGCGCAGGTGAAGAAGGACGTGGCGGTGCTCGCGCACAGCGACCCCACACTGGTGCTGGTCTTCCTGGCCTGCTTTGCCGTCTCCTCCATCTCCTTCAGCTTCATGGTCAGCACTTTCTTCAGCAAAGGTGAGTTGTCCTGCCCCTGGGAGCCGAAGTCTCAGGGGACCCCCAGCTCAGAAGATGGCGGTGTTTCTCTTAGGATGAGTGAGGCTCCAGGGTCCGAGGGCATCTGAGCCAAAACGACCCAGGGGCTGAGGTGTTCTTTACTCTGTGCATCCTCCGCCTTCAGCTTTCTAGGTGTTGGCATACATCCTTGAACAGTTCTCTCAGTGAAGCTTGGCAAGGGGTTAATACTCCTTGACTTACTGTGTCCCGAGAGGGCTCTGTTTTGCCCTCACTTCCAAAGGCTGCTTTAGCTGAGTGTAAGCGTCTTGGCACTCTGATACCATTAGCTTGTGGCCACAGGGCTTCCCTTATTGCTGGGGAGAAGCCTGCTGACGGTCTAGGTCTGGTTTTTCTGTGTGGATGTTTGGATCTGAGGAGATCAGACCTTCATTTCAGCTCATCATCTGTCAGACATTATTCCCCCATCTCTCCTATTAAACCTGACTCGGAGCCTCTCAGTCTGCCCTTCATGTCTCGTAACTTCTTTTTTTTATTATTGTGGTAAAATACATAGAAATTTACCACTTACCCAATTTTGTTTGTTTGTTTCTGGTTGCACTGGGTTTTTCACTGCTCCACGAGGCCTTTCTCTAGTTGTGAGCAGGCTTCTCCTTGTGGCAGCCCCAGAGCTCAGGCTCAGCCGCTGTGGTGGGCGGGGTTAGTTACCCCGAGGCATGCGGGATCTTCTTGGGCCAGGGATCGAACCCGCGTCCCCTGCAGGCAGATTCCTAACCACTGGACCACCAGGGAAGCCCCTGATGTCCTCAACAGATCTTTAGGGCATAAAGAAGTCTTCAGGCTGGAGCCTGTGGGGGTCACTGCATGGACTAAAAAGCCCCCTGTCTCCCACACCTCCAGCACCCGTGGACACTCGCCTCTTTCAGGTCTTTCCCACGTGTCACCTTCCCATCCAAGCCTCCCTTGGTCCCCTGGTTACAGTCACAGCCCGCAGCCCAGGGTGCCTCTCGTCCCGGGTCAGCGGTTTGCTGCCCCTCGCAGGCTGTGCTCACCCGGCATCCCTGCCTTGCTGGCTTTCTTGTCTGCCAGCTGTGTCCATGCTGGTCCTAGGCTCCCCCAGTTCCACCAGCTGTGTCCATGCTGGTCCTAGGCTCCCCAAGTTGAGGGCCTTGCCTCCCTGGTGCCTGGACCAGGGCCTGGCACAGAGTGGGTCCAACAAGAGTGAACGAGTGAAGGAGACGGGGCAGGGCTGTGGGTGCTCAGTGGGCGGTCAGGGCTCAGTGCTGGTGACGTCAGGAGAACGCAGCTGGAGGCGGGTCTGTCGGAGAGGGTGGAGCAGTCACGGTGGGGTCCCTGGGATGGGGCAGGTATGTGCCACCCCAGGTGGGGTGGTGTCCCCTGCGGCATCGGCAGCCCGGCCCGGGAAGAGGCTGTGGACTGAGTGGGGGCCCCCTAACCAATGTCAGGTCGGGGTCAGGCAGTCGCCCGAGGGCCAGGCCCTTGGTGCCCGGGGGCCCGGGGGTGCGCACGCCCGCCTTTCCCTTTCTCCGTCCACAGCCAACATGGCAGCAGCCATCGGCGGTTTCCTCTACTTCTTCTCCTACATCCCCTACTTCTTCGTTGCTCCTCACTACAACTGGATGACGCTGAGCCAGAAGCTCTTCTCCTGCCTCCTGTCCAACGTCGCCATGGCGATGGGAGCCCAGCTCATAGGGAAATTTGAAGCCAAAGGTGAGTCATTTCCCTTTTTACAGCTGCCCTTGCTGGTGTAGTTGCCCTGAGAGGGTCTGAGCAGAGGGCCCTCCAGCCCCGAGACGCTCGCTCCAGCCACGTCAGTGCAGCTTCACAAGCCAAGCACCCGGAGGCAAGTCCTCATGATGGGGAGCAGGGGCCGGAGCCACAGGGGAGGCAGGTCAGACACACGTGGCGGACTGGACAGAGAGTCAGGGTGTCCACCGCCACATCGACCACCCCCCGTCCCTGCTCTGAGCTCCCCACGAAGCCCTGCCTGGGGCCAGCTGTCACTGCTGGAAGACACTGGACGTGAGAGTCTGCATCTGCCAGTGGTGGGGCTCAAGCTGGTCACCTCTGAGTCTCCGCCTGCCTCGGGGCTTTAGGGTTCCTAGGCCTGGGGTCTCAGTCTGTGGGCTCAATAGCTCCCAGCTCTCGGTAAAGCGGTGGAATTAGCATCTCCCCTCCCCCTGTTTCCCTGATACTTCCTGCAGGGATTGGCAGTGAAGACAGGGAACCTGAGAGAGGAACAAGGGACACAGCGGGACGTGGCTTTCTTGGGTTTTGTGACATTTCCTAACTTGTACAATGTCATGTGTAAGTTGCTCAGTCGTGTCTGACTCTGCCACCCCATGGACTGTAGCCCTCGAGGCTCCTCTGTCCATGGAATTCTCTAGGCGAGAATACTGGAGCGGGTTGCCATTTTCCTTCTCCAGGGGACCTTCCTGACTTAGGGATCGAACCCTGGCCTCCTGCATTGCAAGCAGATTCTTTGCACTCTGTGCCACTAGGCTTGGGTGTAAAATGTCTTGGGGGTCGTAACACTGCTGGGCTGATGCTGGCCTGGGGGCTCCCGTTTTTGCTCAGATTTCACTTGACGATGGAATCAAGGCTCCTCTGAAGGGTTGAAAGTGCACCTGGTTTAACCCTTCGCCCCACACCTGCTAGATCTCTAGTGGCAGAGCACTCACCTCTCAGGAGACAGCCCTGATCATTCCGATCACTCAGACCCTCTCACGGAAGGGCTTGAAGAGGTGCATGGACCCAGACGTGGCCTGCCTTCTTGCTTCCTCGGCTCTAAGCAGAGGCAGGAGGGACAGGGTGGATTTCCGCATGGCCGGTGTTGTGCTGGCGTCCGTCCTGGGAGACCTGGCGCTGCTCTGCTCGCAGGAGGGGAAATGCAGCCCTGCTTCTCAGCCCTGCCCCGCGCGGATGTTCTCTTTCAGGCACAAAGCCTGCTTTTCTTCCAGGCCTCAACCCCTACTTCTCATGGCTTCCTGGCTGTGGTCTAAGGAGGGAGGGCGTGGGTGTCCACGAGAACCTTCAGTGTGGCTTTATCCTCCAGTAGAATTTTTTTCTTCAGCTGACACTGGGACTTTTAAATATATGTGTCTCTTTGTTCAGCAGTGTGTGATAAACTATAGTTTTGGTTTTTTTAATGCACAGTACCTTCCAGGGTTCAGATGCTCTTTAAAGTAGCCATTTACAAAGAGAAGTCAAACTAGATGGCACCTCCCAGTTTTCAAAATTCTATACTGAATTTTCCTAAAACAGACAAATTTGTAGTTGTTTGGAAGTGAACAGAGACCAAGGCTGGAGACCAGCCATTTCTACCAGGGGCCCTGGAGTCAGCCACACAGAAACCCCCAGGTATCCTTTGGATGGTGATGCTACAAACCTGTGAGAAGAGAGAGCACCACGAGCACCGCTGAACCGAACTCTATGTGCACTGACATGTTTCCCTTCTCTGAAAAGACCTGTATTAGATGCAGCCTGTTCCAGTGCTGGCCTTACCCAGACCTCGTTCGTGTATGTGTACATGTGTCTGTGTGTCTGTGTACAGATGTGCTGTGTAGATGGACTCATGTTTGCACACGTATATGTCACAAATCAAACGTGAGCCCCTCTCGTCAGTTCATGAGCTTTGCTGGTTCTGTGACACCGATCTGGTGACCTGCTCTGGTCTGAAAGGCCGGGGGAGAGCTGTCAGGTTTGCTGGGAGCGGGGAGCTGTCGCACTGACTGCCCTGCGGGTCCGCGTCAGGCCCATCTCCTGGCATGTCTTCCAGGCACAGGCATCCAGTGGCGAGACCTCCTGAGTCCCGTCAACGTGGATGACGACTTCACCTTCGGGCAGGTGCTGGGCATGCTGTTGCTGGACTCTGTCCTCTACGGGCTGGCCACCTGGTACGTGGAGGCTGTGCTCCCGGGCCAGTTTGGCGTGCCCCAGCCCTGGTACTTCTTCATCCTGGTGAGTTCTGATGGCCATCTGCGTGCCCCAAGCCCTTCCATCCCCTGACCTACAATGCCCAGGTCCGAGAGGAGGAGCTGGCACCGGCCGGCTGGCTACAGGGCCTGCACACAGCCCCACCCAAGCCTCCTTCCTCAAAAAATGTCTGGTTGGGCTTTCTGCTCACAAAGTAACAGAGCTTCTTGCAAAACTGATCACATTTCTAGAGTGAACAGCGCAGTCCCACCACCCAGGGAGGAACACCGCTGACACCCTGGGTGACATTCTTCAGATGGTTTCCTCTGCGTGTGCAGCACGCGTGTATGTTATCTGACATGTATACGTTTGTTCTTAGAAAAGGGGATCATGTAAAAATGCTTGAGACTTGCTCTTTTTTTTCTAGGTACATTTTATAAAGTCTTAGTCGCTCAGTCATGTCCGACTCTTTGCGACCCCGTGGAGTTTAGCCCCCTAGGCTCCTCTGTCTATGGAATTCTCCAGGCCAGAATACTGGAGTGGGCTGCCATTCCCTTCTCCAGGGGATCTTCCCCACCCAGGGATCAAACCCGGGTCTCCTGCATTACAGGCGGATTCTTTACCATCTGAGCCACCAGGGAAGCCCAGTGTACATCTTAGGTATTTTAAGTACATGTACATATGGGTCTATTTACAAATATACTTTTAGATTTTATCTGTGCATATTTATAAATTTTTAAAATGTATTTGTAAATATATTTCTATTTAAACGTGTTTTTCTCAACCAGTTTCACTTTTTAACGACTACACAGTATTGATGCGTGTACCACTGAATTGTTAACTAATTCCATGTTGATTAGCTAGATTAGCCAGGAGCCACTTCATTGTTTATCTTTGGTTTAACTAATATTTATCAAGTGTCCATTCACTTTGTCATTGCTGTTCAGTCGCTAAGTTGTGTCCGGCTCTTTGCGACCCCATGGACTGCAGCACGCCAGACCTCCTTGTCCTTCACTATCTCCTAGAGTTTGCCCAAGTTCATGTCCATTGAATCAGTGATGCTATCCAACCATCTATCCTCTGCTGCCCTCTTCTCATTTTGCCTTCAGTCTTTCCCAGAATCAGGGTCCACTCATTATTTCATCAAATCTAAAATGGCCCTGATTCTTAGAGGCACCGCCACTTTGTCACCAAGAAAGAAAAATACCGACCATTGTTCTGTGTGGCGGTGTCCGTAATTTGTAAGACACATTCTGATTTCAAAGTCACTTAAAACGGGAGACAGGTGTCCCCCCAAACCAATGGAATGTGACGCATTGGAACTGCCCACTGGCTGTGGGGGTACACGGGGAGCAGGGCTGGAGCTGTGGGTGAGACCTTCTCCCCCAGCAGGGCTTCCCCTGGGGGCTTCTTCCAGGGCCCTGTGCTCACCTCTCCTGTGACCCCGCCCATACCACTGTGCCAACAGTGTGCCTCCCTCGAGTGACCCCAGACCGTGGGAGGGAGGCCGGCCCTCGGGCATCTCTTGTGTTTCACGAGCACCTGGGAGAGGATGCAGCCGGACCTCCCCACCTCGCCCTGGGCAGGACCGCTTCCGGACCTGGCTTTGTATTCAGTTTCTTCATTTCCTTTCCCTCCTATCGCCTCTGAGCTCTGTGCGTAGTGAGCCCTTGTGGCAGAACAGGGAACAGACTCCGCACTTCCCGGGGCAGTGGGCGCAGAGCTGCGCAGGGGCTCGGTCAGAGCCCAGGACTCTCGGCAGTGCGTTCTCTGCAGCAGCACCTCGCCAGGGAGGCCCGGGGCTGGCAGGCTCGCAGCTCCAGCGTGTCAGTCAGTTTGTGGTTGCTCTGTTTGTGGCAAAGAAAAAAATGAGCTGACGTGATGGGCCGATCGAGATTTCTGTCCTAGCCTTCGTACTGGTGCGGACGCCCGAGGACGGCGCTCGGGAAGGAGGAGGAGGACGACGACCCTGAGAAGGTGCTCAGGACTGAGTACTTTGAAGCTGAGCCCGAGGACCTGGTGGCCGGGATCAAGATCAAGCACGTGACCAAGGTGCCACGCCTGTTGGGACTAGACCGCGGGGTCACAGGGCAGGGACCGTCCTCCGGGCCTCGCTTCTCCTGGATTCCTGGGGCTGCCCTCTGACCTGCTCCCCCATGCCCCGGCCACCCCGGCTCTGCCCCAGGGCCCATTGTGGAGGCTCAGGATAGAGTCAGGACCCACTGTTGGCCCCTTAACCTCTGACCAACTTGGCAGTGGACACTCTCTGGGCTCGCTGTATGCAACGCCTGGGTCTTCCAGACCTTCTGCCAAGACGCCGGGTGCTGGGGGCCTGGGGAGGGGCGGGTGGGGAAGGGTGTGCCTTCCATCAGTACTGCAGTCTCTCGGTGCACTGGGCATCATTTCCTCTCAACACCCTTGGGTGGACGGAGATTCCCGGGGGAGTAGGACGGAGGTCCTCTGCAGTGAGGGCCCGGGGGGCTCCTGATGCCTAGGGCCGGCCCTGCCTCTCCCACAGGTGTTTAGAGTGGGGAACAAGGGCAAGGCGGCCGTCAGAGACCTGAACCTGAACCTGTACGAAGGCCAGATCACTGTCCTGCTGGGCCACAACGGCGCGGGGAAGACCACCACGCTCTCCATGCTCACAGGTGAGGGCCCGGCCTCCACGCCCCCTCCCCAGCCCTGACCGCCCGGCCACGTGCCCTCAGGTGGCTGTCCTGTCCGTGCTGAGAGCTGCGGAGCCGCGGGGGCCCTGGGACAGGGCAGGAGCCCCACAGGCCACAGGGAAGGGCTCCACCTGCACTGATGGGGGTCCCAAACCCACTCTCCTAAAAGCTGTCCTGTACACCCTGGCCCAGCCCTGGCAATCGCCCTGTCCTCCCTGAGCACAGGCTCGAGTTGGGACCTGGGCTCCGAGGGTGTTGGGGGCATGCCACCTCATCCCTAACAAACCGCAGTGGCCAGGATCAAGATCAAGCACGTGTCCAAGGTGCCAGTCCTGCGGGGACTGGGCTGCAGGGTCAGGAGGTCATGGGGCAGTGACCATCCTCCGGGCCTCTCTTATCCTGGGTTCCTGGGACTGCCCTCCAACCGGCTCCCCCAGGTACCAGCCACCTCATCTCTGCCCGAGGGCTCAGGGTCCCGTCAGCACGCAGTGCTGATGACCCTTCTCTGCCTCTGGAGGCCCACTCGGTGGGGCAGGGCGCTCATCATGCGAACCAGGGAGGCTCAGCCCTCCTCCTGTTCCTGGAGGATGTTTGCACTGACCTCAGGCCCCGGGGTCTTTTGCGCGGCCCTAGGTCTCTTCCCCCCGACCAGCGGACGAGCGTACATCAGCGGGTACGAAGTCTCGCAGGACATGGATCAGATACGGAAGAGCCTGGGCCTGTGCCCACAGCATGACGTCTTGTTTGACAACCTGACCGTCGCCGAGCACCTGTACTTCTATGCTCAGGTGAGCCGGCAGGGGGATAGGGTTCACGGGCTGCCGCTGTGGTCCCATCACCCACGAGGCAGCCTCGGGAGCCCTTAGCCTCCCAGCAAACTGAACCTACTCCAGGGAGCTGTCAGCAGACTGTGGGGTGCGGGGTAGTCAGGGTGTGAGGTCCAGCACGGGGAGAGACAGGAACAGCACCAAGGCCAGTGCTGCCTGGACGGGCCGGATCTCCATCCCCGCCGTTTCAGCTGAAAGGCTTGCCACGTCAGAAGTGCCCTGAGGAGGTCAAACGCATGCTGCACGTGCTCGGGCTGGAGGAGAAGCGGGACTCCCGGAGCAAGTTTCTGAGTGGCGGGATGCGGCGCAAGCTCTCCATCGGCATCGCCCTCATCGCGGGCTCCAAGGTAGGCCCGGGGGGCCTGCGGCGCGGCCTGAAGCCCGGGTGGGGCTCTGCCATCCTTACGATGCCGCCCCTCCGCCCTCCAGGTGCTGATGCTGGACGAGCCCACCTCGGGCGTGGACGCCATCTCCAGGAGGGCCATCTGGGACCTTCTGCAGCAGCACAAGAGCGACCGCACCATCCTGCTGACCACCCACTTCATGGACGAGGCCGACCTGCTGGGGGACCGCATCGCTATCATGGCCAAGGGGGAGCTGCAGTGCTGCGGGTCGTCGCTGTTCCTCAAGGAGAAATACGGTGAACAGGGTGGGCGGGCAGCCGAAAGTCCATTCCGCACGGGGTCCGCGTGGCTGGTCCAGGTGCAGGAGAAAGTGTCCACTGGTCACATTCCCCGAGGGCTTCCTGAGGTCAGGCGGGAAGCGGCTTTCTCTAGACGGCCTGTCTGCTCCCTGTGGGTGGAGATCCAAGGCCCAGGTGGAGGGGCTGTGAGAATGAGGAGGAGGAGAGCAGAAAATCTTAATTTGGAGCATTGTTTGGCCTTGACCAGTGGACTAGCAGTCAACGCCGGGCCTGCCAAGAGCAGGGGTGCCATTGGAGGGGCCAAGTCTTCTCACCAGCATCACAGCTCCCAAACAGGCGGGGGGCCCAGGGCACCGCCCAGGGTGGGTGGGCAGTGGGTGCAGTCAGCCCCCTCTTTGCTGTGTGAGTGCAGCTTCCCTTCTGGAGGACCGCTCGCCATCCGATGTGGTCCTGGCAGGCCAGGTCTGCTCCACGTCCCACCGGCAGAAGAAGCAAAGGCAGAAGAGCAGCGTCCCTCCCCCCAGACACCCCGGGAGTTGCACCCTGAACTTCCCGCGGCCAACATACAGCCCCGCAAGTGGCAGGCTACCCTGAGTGGTCACCATCAGGCTGGGGAGGTGCTGGAGAGGACGGCCTTTGTCCTGAGGCCCTGCTACCAAGAAAGCAGGGAGAAGAGATCTTGGGGGCGGTTTGGACCAAGCCTCTGCTGCTCGCAGTCTGAAGTCCAGCTCTGTCTCACCTCCCTGTGCTCAGTACCCTGGGTCCTCCAGCATCTCTCCCCAGCGAGGGTGCGGGGAGGGCAGCTGAGCCCCTCGTGACTGCCCTGAGGCACCCTGAGGGGCATCGATTCCACTTCACTTGCCCCCGCTCTGCAGCCCCTTCCCCAGGAGCCTGCCCCCTCCCCAGCAAGCCCGGAGCCCTGGGTGAACCCCACTGGGCTCACTGGGTGAACACTGAACACTCTGGGGTGTTCAGGCGCAGGCTACCACATGACACTGGTGAAGGAGCCTCACTGCAACCCCGAGGGCATCTCCCGGCTGGTCCAGCACCACGTCCCCAACGCCACCCTGGAGAGCAGCGCCGGGGCAGAACTGTCGTTCATTCTTCCTAAGGAGAACACGCACAGGTACATACGTGTGCCAGAGCATGCATGGGCATGTGTGTGTCCCATAGTACACACAGGTACATTACATGTGCCCCAGAACACACACAGGTACTTGCGTGCCCCAGAGCATGCATGGGTACATGTGTGCCCCAGAGCACACATGGGTACATACACGTCCCAGAGCATGCACAGCCACGTGTGTGTCCCAGAGCACACACATGTACATATGTGTCCCAGAGCATGCACAGGCACACATCCTAGAGAGCATGCACAGGTACATATGTGTCCCAGAGCATGCACGGGCATGTCTGTGTCCCAGAGCACGCATAGGCACACATCCTAGAGAGAGCATACACAAGTACATATGTGTCTCAGAGCACACACAGGTACATATGTGTCCCAGAGCATGCACGGACATGTCTGTGTCCCAGAGCATGCACAGGCACACATCCTAGAAAGAGCATGCACAAGTACATACGTGTCCCAGAGCACGCACAGGTACATACGTGTCCCAGAGCACGCATGGGCACACATCCTAGAGAGAGCACACAGAGGTACACACATAGGCGCAGATCTGAGAAGGGGGCTCAGTGGGACTTAAGGGGCCTGTGGGTAAGACGCGCGGCCTGCACCCGTGGGCTTGGCCAGGGTCCCTCTCGGCCCCTGGGCCGGTGATGGTTGGCACCTGGTGAGTCTACTTGCTGGGCCCGGGGTGCCAGGCCTCCCTGTGCATCAGGGCCGCGCCCGAGGAGAAGGGCGGCCGTCACAGGGCATGGGGTGCAGTGGTGCTTTCCTCACACCATAGCCACTCAGGGTTGGTGTGCAGCTGTAAACTCACATACCTTCTCGGTCTTGTGGTCTGAGCCGTGGACACATGCCTCATAAGCAGAGCAGACTCCCCGTGTGGGCAGGTAAAAACGAAACTTCTCATTCACATGCAGAAACTTTGGAAGAGAAAACTCACAGGTGCATTAATCTTGCTCCAAGCCTGATTGAGAAATGTGGTTTTAATCACGGCAGTGTTCCCTGACTTAGATGTACTATAATTTAACACCTACTCTATCATCACATATTCATGTTTTACAGACACGCAAATATGTTAATGCACATCTTTCTAGCAAACTCTGTTGAGGTCTCCAGTGACCCCTTAGGGTAGATCCCCAGCAGTGGGGTACATATTACCAGACTCCCCCCTGGACAGGTGTTGAGTTTGACTTTTCCAGCAGCAGGATGGGGGAGTGTCCATTTTACAGATGCCAGCTTTGAGTTGGACTTCTCTTTATTACTTGTGTATCTCATGGGTGGAAATGGCTCACACTGTGTAGTTATCATCTTGTGTTTCTTCCAGTCCTGCTGGCAGGAGATTGACCACTTCCAGTGCTTACTGGGTGCTAAGCATCACTTCTTCTGACTGTTGGATGTCCCAGTCCTGTGTATTCAGTATTAACATCAACCATTTCTGTTGGACCTTTTTTCCTATTCATTGCTGCCTTCTAATTTTGTGAGAGATATTTTACATCAAATGGGTTCTATCTTTTCCTTTGTGATTTCTCCTTAGAAAGGACTTCTGTGTCCTACAAGTCCATAAATATTCCCCAGTTTCTTTTGGCTTGGTCAGTGACTTCACGTAGGTGTGTGCCATCAAAGAGTGCCTTACAGGCCCAAGTACCCAAAAGAGGTTGTGGGGACGTCCCTGGTGATTTGATGGTTGGGATTCGGCGCTTTCTCTGCCGGTTCAGTCCCTGGTCAGGGAACTGAGATCCCACAAGCCACACAGCATGGCGAAAAAAGAAAAAAGAAGATTATTTTTTAAAAAAATGCTGTATTGGGGGAGGAAGGGGGACAGGGGAAGACCAAGCTGAACTTTTTTACTGAGGCACCATCTCCAGGAGCTCAACTTCCTTTGCCCCTCTCCCACACTGCACGGAGGTGATTATTTAGGAACAGATCATCTAGAAGGTCACTGAGAAGCGACTTATCACCATGGTCTCTTTTTTTTCCAGGTTTGAAAGTCTTTTTGCTAAACTGGAGAAGCAGCAGAAGGAGTTGGGCATCGCCAGCTTCGGGGCCTCCGTCACCACCATGGAGGAGGTCTTCCTGCGGTCAGTACCCATGCACCTGTGTCCGGCGGGGGTTCAGCCCCGCGGGTGGCTGTTCTAAAGGGCATGATAAAGCACTGCCCTTGACTGTCATCTGGAACACCCATCCGAGGTGGACCCACAGCCCGGGGTGGCAGGAGGGCAGCGGGCCGGCCCTCAGGGCCTGAGCTCCCATCCGCAGGGCCCTGTAAATAACACTGGCACAGACCTGGCCGGGTTCCCAACACACGGGTGACTCAGACCGCAGAACAATCGAACTCTGATGCCCGGACACTCCACTCCCACCATGTGTGTCGGCCCCTCCCCTGGGCCTCTCCTGGGAGCTCTTCTAGCGTTCAGGTGATCATCCCCAGGCCTGTCTCCTTCTGTAATGAAGATGTAAAATTTAGCCTTCACCCCTCAGAACTGTGGTGTGGGCTCCAGACAATTAACACATTGGTCAAGCATTTCTTGAATCCTTTTTTCAGCAGATAGAGTGCTAAGAACAAGAAATACAAAAATAAATGTTATAGAGATTTTTTTCCTTGGGGCTTACACAGCCTAAAGGAGGCAACAGCGTCAGTGAATATAAATACACAGCTGCACAGGTTGGGTGGCTCCCGGCCTCAGTGCAGCCCCCCATGCAGCCCAAGGCCGTGACTCCAGGCTCTGCCACCTGAGGACCTGCCAGCTTTGCCCCCACCCACCCCTCCACATGTACTTCTGAGTAGCTCAGTTGATAAAGAATCTGCCTACAATGCAAGAGGCCCGGGTTCGACCCCTGTGTCGGGAAGTATGCTGGAGAAGGAAATGGCAACCCACTCCAGTACTCTTGCCTGGAGAATTCCATGGACAGAGGAGCCTGGCAGGCTACAGTCCATGTGATCACCCCCCACATGCACTGTCATGCCCGCCCCGAGGTGGCCCCTCCCAAGATACACTCTTCTGCCTCCTGGTCTCGGCGTGCAGTGAGCCCCAACCCGCAGGTCTCCACACTGACAAGCCCTCCCCACACTGCCATTGTGCCCTGCGCCCCGTCCTGTCCCTCTGGACAATCTGGGGCATAAATGCTGACTGTGGTCGGTCTCCCTGGGAGACCAGGGCCCTCAGGATCAGGGCCTGCCTGGTTGTACCTCTCTCCTGGGCTTTGCCTGGTCTCCACAGTGGGCGTCCTGGAGATAGGCAGGGATGAGTGAGTGCATGGGCACACAAAGGCCCAGCTGGCAGAACAGATGGCCGTCTGCCTTCATGCCCCTGGCTTTCCACCTCTGCTGCCCCCTCCCTCCCCAAAGAGCCTGTTCTGACCCGGCCTCCATGTCTCGGCCAGGGTTGGCAAGCTGGTGGACACCAGCATGGACATCCAGGCCATCCAGCTCCCTGCCCTGCAGTACCAGCACGAGAGGCGGGCCAGCGACTGGGCTGTGGACGGCCACCTGTGTGGGACCATGGACCCGACCGACGGTGTTGGCGCACTGATTGAGGAGGAGTGCACCGCCGTCAAGCTCAACACCGGGGTGAGAGCGTGAGAGCGTCAGAGGCCGCGAGGGCAGATGCGGGCATCTGGAGGGTCCAGGCCCTGGGAGGAGGACAGGTCGCAGCTCATGCTCCTAAGGGCTGGCCCAGAGAAGGAAATCCCGGAGCGTTTTAACTGAGCACCGCCACTTCTTGTTGTTCTAACTTGGCCACTCATGAATAAGGGCAAATGCCACTCATAAGGCTGACAGCGCCCCGTGTACATGTGCCCTGTACCCAGCGAGACAGAGGCAGCCGTGGGCCCATTTTACAGACAGGAAGCTGAGGCCTGGGTCGGGGTCGCCTGGGCAGCTCACAGCGGAGCTGGGCTCCAGTCCCTGCCGGCCTGACTTGCACAGTGAAGGACTGGGCATAAGGAATACAGGCAGCGGGAGGTTTGTCCATCTGCTCTGCTGTGAGCGCGGCCGGAGTCCTCCGAGGCCTTGGCTCCTCTCTGGGGTAGCACAGAGTCCCCTGACATCCTTGGATGATGGAACAGCGCCTGCCCTGCCACCACTGCTGTGAGGCCCCAAGGCCCAGGGGACACCTACAGGGAGGTGTTCTCATGGGTCCTCCATGTCAGGGCCCAGGCCCTGGGGGAAGCCCTGGGACCCAGCGTGCCACTGTCAGCCGGAGGCCCCTAGGCCCACGTGGGCACCACGCATGCTGCAGGGGGCAGGGGCAAGGCTGGCCTAGGTTGGCGGCCGTGTCACCCCCGTCCCCCTCTGTCGCAGCTGGCCCTCCACTGCCAGCAGTTCTGGGCCATGTTCCTGAAGAAGGCCACCTACAGCTGGCGCGAGTGGAAGGTGGTGGCGGCCCAGGTCCTGGTGCCTGTGACGTGCCTCACCCTGGCCCTCCTGGCCATCAACTACTCCTCCGAGATCTTCGACGACCCCCTGCTGAAGCTGACCCTGGGCGAGTACGGCCACACCGTCGTGCCCTTCTCGGTCCCTGGGACCTCTCGGCTGGATCAGCAGCTGTCGGAGCATCTGAAAGACATGCTGCAGGCCGAGGGCCAGGAGCCTCGAGAGGTGCTGGGTAAGGGGTGTCTCGGGGGGTGTCCCAGGGGGCTTGGGGGCGTGGCTTGTGCTGGCAGAACCCCCTTCTCACCCATGTTGGGGGTGCAGAAGGAAGAGCCTGTGGCTATGGGGGTGCCCCCCCAGGCCTGCAGCCTTGGGTCCTATGGCTCCCACCCCATGGCCCCACAGCCCCTGGACAGCATGTGGGTGGAAGGTGATGTGTCCTTTCTGTGGTTCCTGCGGTCCTTCAGAACAGGCACTCAGAGCGGGGCCTTGGCGGGCCGCTGGCCCGTAGCCGGTCGTCCACACCACTGACCCTGCCGTTGCCCCTGCTGCCACCACACAGGTGACCTGGAGGAGTTCCTGATTTTCAGGGCCTCAGTGGAGGGGGGCGGCTTCAACGAGCGGTGCCTGGTGGCAGCATCCTTCAGAGACACGGGCGAGCACACGGTCGTCACTGCCCTGTTCAACAACCAGGCGTACCACTCCCCTGCCACCGCGCTGGCTGTCGTGGACAACCTCCTGTTCAAGCTGCTGTGTGGCCCCCGGGCCTCCATCACGGTGTCCAACTTCCCCCAGCCCCGGAGCGCGCTGCAGGCTGCCAAGGACCAGTTCAATGAGTATGTGCCCTGTCCCCCCCGCCCAGGACCCCGTCCCCACGTGCTGAGGACCTGCTCCTAGCACACTGACCACTCCGCACCCGAGGTACTGCTGGGCTCCCTCACACACACCCTCAGAGCTGCAGCAGCAGACATGGCATTGTTTCTGCTTCCAGAAAGCTCCTGGTTCTCGGGACCCCAACCCCACACCCTCCCCAGCCTTCCATACATAATCTTTCCTGGGATAGCAGAGACTTTGGGGAGACCCTAGCCCACACACACCTGGGGCCTACCGGAGACTCCTGTGGATTTGGAGGATGCCGCACTCTCTTCCCCAATCTGTACCCGGCTCTTGCCGATCTATGTCCTGGGGGTGCGGCGTTCAGTGCCCAGCGTGTGTGTGTGTCGCTGCCCCTCAGTGGCCTCAAGTCTGGGACCACCTCAGGCATCTCTGTCCTCAGCCTTGTCACCTTCGTGTGTGTAGGACTCTCCTCTTCCCGGTCGCAGAGCCCCTAGACCTCTGGGGACCGTCCAGATGAAGCCGGAAAAGTCTGTCCATTGCAGAACAGTCACCCACCTCAGGGCAGCTCATTGATGGGGGGTTTTTCATCGCCACCTCCCATTTTCGACTGTCTCCTGGCCCTTCAGTGCCCTCCTCCCCTCTGCCCCCTCTCGACCCCACTGTGAAAGCAGAGAGTGGGCAGCAGTCCTCTGTTCTCACTGCGCCAGGGAGTCAGGCTTAGCATGGTGAAAGTGGACAAGAGCAGGAGTTTTTCTTTTGCTGGAACAGCTGTAGGAGATATGACCCCCCTGCCATATGGTTCGCCTGTTCACGGTGCACAAGCAAATGGTTTCTAGTACATTGAGTCGTGGAGCTATCACCACAATATAGTTTTAGCAAATGTTTTCATTATCTTCAAGGAACTGTGGCACCGTGACTGTCACTCCCCGTTCGTCTCCCTTCCACCTCTAAGCAGCCGGGAGTCAGCTCTCTGTCCCCGTGGTTTGCCTGTCCTGGACATTTCCCGGGGGTGGAATCAGACACTGTGTGGCCTTGGGTGACTGACTTTCACTCTCAAGACTCATACACTTGTGCCAGCACTTCATTAGTTCAGAGCATTTCCCGCCCCAGCATTGCTTTTTGAAACGTTCAGGGGGTGGGGAGGGGGCAGTTTAAGCTACAGAATGACGCTGTTGGCGCTGGTTTCTGAAAGGTGTTGCTGGCACCTGAAGGTCCTGCCCACTCGAGAACGAGAGTGGGGAGACTGCCACCACCCCGATGCCACTCCCAATGGTGGGTCTGACCCGGGCTGCTGCAGAGAGCCGGGTGGAAGTGCTGGATCCAACCTGAGTGTCTGTGGGGAGTGGGTGCACAGGGAACAGATGGAAAGCCACTGGGAGGGTGGCAGTGCCATCACTGCGGACTGGATGCCCAGAAGGGGGGCTGTTCCCAGGCGGGGTAGGGGGTGCAGTTTTCCTGGTGCAGAGCCCCCTGGGGCTCTGGATTGTTCCTTAACCCCCTTTAGCGGCTGAGTCACTTCATCAGCCGCTTTGGACAGTAGTGAGCCAGCACTGGATGGCCAAGCTGCCCAGATGTGCTCTGCTCTGTCCCTGACCTGTCCTGTGCCCTCCCCGCCTCCCACCACAGGGGCCGGAAAGGCTTCGACATCGCCCTCAACTTGCTGTTCGCCATGGCATTCCTGGCCAGCACGTTCTCCATCCTAGCAGTCAGCGAGAGGGCCGTCCAAGCCAAGCACGTGCAGCTCGTGAGCGGCGTCCACGTGGCTACTTTCTGGCTCTCGGCTCTGCTGTGGGACCTCCTGTCCTTCCTCGTCCCCAGTCTGCTGCTGCTGGTGAGCTGAATAGCGCTTGGGCCTTTCCGCGCGCGTCTAGGGCTGGGGGGAGCCTGCAGAATCACCCTGGGCTCCCAGCGAGTGCTGGCGGCTCCGCCCCTGCTGCGGGAGGAGGGTGGGAAGGCCCTGGCAGCCCCTCCCATCTTCGCGCACACCCCCATCCCTTCTTCGAGCCCCGCCTCCTCCCTTCTTCGCGCCCCGCCCCCTCCTGGCTTCAGGCCCCGCCCCCCGACCTCTGCCCCTTTGGGAGGTGGGGCCTGGGGGCTGCTGGACCGGAACTCACGCACCCTGTCCCTGCCGCTGCAGGTAGTGTTCAAGGCCTTCGACGTGCATGCCTTCACGCGGGACGGACACGTGGCCGACGTCTTGCTGCTGCTCACGCTCTACGGCTGGGCCATCATCCCCCTCATGTACCTGATGAGCTTCTTTTTCTCCGGGGCGGCCACTGCCTACACGCGGCTGACCATATTCAACATCCTATCGGGCATCGCCACCTTCCTCGTTGTCACCATCATGCGCATCCCAGGTGGGCGCCAGGAGCCCACCCCCTCACCCACTCCGTGACCCGCAGAGCTGCTCAACCAGCCTGTCAGCTGTGCTGCAGCCCCTGTGCCCAGGCGGCCCTGCCCCACAGCACCCGTGGACCCCCACCAGCAGGAGAGCAGGCCCGGTGCCAGATCCCTGGGGCCGGCGCGGCTGGGCTGCGTGGGGAACTCCAGACACCAGCTCTTTCTGCACCGCACGTGCAGGTGCAGTGTGTCCTCCCGCGCTGACTGGCCTGTGCTTCCTCCCCACAGCAGTCAAGTTAGAAGAACTTTCCAGAACCCTGGACCGTGTGTTCCTGGTGCTTCCCAACCACTGCTTAGGGATGGCGGTGAGCAACTTCTACCAGAACTACGAGACCAGGCGGTACTGCACCTCCTCCGACGTGGCAGCCCACTACTGCCGGAAATACAGTGAGTGTCCAGGCCTTACTCCAGACGGCTGAACCCCTCTTAGGCACAAGGGCCACCTCGAACATGAAGCCGCCAAAACGCGGGCAGTTCTTGGGTCCCGCCCTCAGAGGCCCAGTGGGCCCCACCTGTGCAGCCTTCACAGGGGTCAGGCGCAGGCACTTCGGGGTCACAGAGAGAGGGCTGGAGGGGCTTGGACCCCCGGAGGGGAGGGGCGCTCCGGGCCACGGGTGCAGCACCCTGTCCCGTGTTGCACAGACATCCAGTACCAGGAGAACTTCTACGCGTGGAGCACCCCGGGGGTCGGCAGGTTCGTGACCTCCATGGCCGCTTCAGGGTTTGCCTACCTCACCCTGCTCTTCCTCGTGGAGGCCGACCTGCTATGGAGGCTGAAGACCTGCCTGTGTGCCTTCCAGAGGAGGCGGGCGCTGGTGAGTGGCTCCGGGTACCTGTTGGGCCTCCAGCTGCCCTGAGGGGGGGCACCCTGACACTGAGGTCGGCCTTCCTTGGGGCCACTGCGCAAGGAGTCCACCGGCAGCGCTCAGAGCGTCCCCTGGGGCTCTCTGAAGCCATGGGTCGAGGGAGCCTGGGGCCTCGGAGATCTCAGTCTCCTAGGAGACCTGGGGGCCGCGGCGCCCTCATGTTTGTCACATACATTTCCTCCCGAAACAAAACCTGCCGAGACAGGCACTTCCAGGACAGGTGTCCCCAGGGCTGATGGGGCGAAGACACTAGGCTTTTCTAAGGGAAGGGGGGTGTGTCTCCTCGGGGCCACTGTCAGCCCTGATGGCCGCCCAGCTCTCCTTGTGGGAGATCTGAGTCGGCCTGCGTGGGGCTGAGCTGGGGTGAGCGGCCTGGGAGACCTTAGTTTAATTTAGCTCTTCCTGCCACGGGAATGGACCCCTCGGGGGAGCTCACCCCGGCATCTCTTTTCCAAACAACTAGACAGAAGTGTACACCCGGACGGCGGCGCTCCCTGAAGACCAGGATGTGATGGACGAAAGGAACCGCGTCCTGTCCCCCAGCCCGGACTCCCTGCTGGTCACGCCTCTGATCATCAAGGAGCTCTCCAAGGTGAGGTGGCCCGCGCCGCGGCCCCGCCCCCGCGCCGGCTGGTCCCGCCCCCGACTGGCCCCACCCAGACTTCCCTGCTCGGGCCAGCCGCCCCCGCGCCGCGGCCCCGCCCCCGCTCCGGCTGGCCCCGCCTCCGCTCCGGCTGGTCCCGCCCCCGACTGGCCCCACCCAGACTTCCCTGCTCGGGCCAGCCGCCCCCGCGCCGCGGCGCCGCCCCCGCGCCGCGGCCCCGCCCCCGCTCCGGCTGGTCCCGCCCCCGACTGGCCCCACCCAGACTTCCCTGCTCGGGCCAGCCGCCCCCGCGCCGCGGCCCCGCCTCCGCTCCGGCTGGTCCCGCCCCCGACTGGCCCCACCCAGACTTCCCTGCTCGGGCCAGCCGCCCCCCGCCTCCACACGGCTGTGTTCTCCGCGCACGCACAGGTGTACGAGCACCGGGCTCCGCTCCTCGCTGTGGACAAGGTGTCCCTCGCGGTCCAGAAAGGGGAGTGCTTCGGTTTGCTAGGCTTCAACGGAGCCGGGAAAACCACGACTTTCAAAATGCTGACCGGGGAGGAGACCATCACCTGTGGGGACGCCTTTGTTGGGGGCTACAGCATCAGCTCTGACATCGGGAAGGTGGGTGTGGCCAGGGAGGCAGGGATGAGGCTGGCCTCTGGCTCGCGGCTCAGGGACAGCAAGACGAGGCAGTGGCCGCGGCCAGAGCTAAGCAAGTGGTGGAGAGAGGGGTGAGGCTATATCTGAGCGCCCGGGGCCGGAAGGGACCAGGCGCGGCAGGCGGGCAGGCTGAGACTGGGTCACCCCCAACCCAGGACCAGTGACATCTCTGGACCTGGGCCCAGAGCAGCACCCAGAGAACTCCGCCGTCTCAAAAGGACTCCAATCTGTGTGCACAGTGTAGGCAGTGGTGCCCTGGGCCATTCAAACCAAGAACCAAGAGCTGGATAAAAGGTTAACCTTAAACCATGTGGTTGAGATCATGGAAGAGGGAGAGGCTTAGTGATGACCCCCAGCTGGAGTCTGCAGGCAGGAGCCACCCCGGCACAGGGGATAGTCTGTCCCCTGAGACTTGAGCGTGGGTTAAGGACCTTATTGTGTGTAGGGGGCAGAAATGAAGAGCCACCCCTCTGGGTTAGCATGAAGCAGGCCATCCAGTTCCCAATGTGCTGAGCATGGCCGTGGAAGGAGCAGAGAAGGGCCTGTGCCCAGGAGTGACAGCATCTACTGAACTGGCATCGGGCTCCCAGTCAGCCATGCCCGACCGCAGCACACAGAGCACCCTGTCTGCAGGAAGGCTTTCATCCTGGATCTCTGAGAACCCCTCACGTAGTATTTCAAGGCCTGTGAACAGCACACAAGCAAAGCAGACAGAAGAGACCCCATGCAGTGGCTGGAGCCCACAGACACCAGGGCTCTGTAGGGGATCAAGCCCACCACTTTGGATTTTATAAAACAACTGTGTTTCCTGTGTTCAGAGAAATAAACAAGATTGAAAAGGCATGCAAGGAAGAGGGATCTGTAAATGGTCCAGGAAATGCAGGCCAGGGTGAGGAGCCTGAGACACATTTACTTTGCGTTCCAGTTGAAAGGGAGAGAATAGAGGAGAGATAGTAAGTGCCATGGTCACAGCGAAGAAGGTCTCCAAACCAGTTAAGACCAGATCCTGGAAGCCTGAGAACCCAGAGGAGGTTAAAGGAAAAGAAACCCCATCTCTGGAATCCACAGAACCCAGGCATGCTTGTGCCCACCAGCTGCCAAACGTGGCTGGAGCTGGAGGCCAGCCACGCGGCGTTCTGGCTTTGCCGAACGTGGCCACTCACCGGAGACCAGCTGCCGTACCATCTGCCTAGGCTGCACCCCGCCCCAAAGGTATCGCCAACAGACATGTCTTAATAGAGGGAGAAAGGGAAGGTCCCAGCACACGTTAGGCGTTTGTTAAACATCCGATGAACTAAAGAGTGGATATCTCTCAGCTATAAAGCACTGCGTAGACACAGTCACTTTGTACAATCAAGGCATTCCTGTAGCTGTCCGTCCCCTTGCTGCCCAGGGTAGACTGGGCTTTGGCCAGTCTCTGACCCCTGGTTGGGGGCAGTCTGGCTCCTAGTGCCCCTGGCCCTCACTGAGCCAGGCAAGCCTCTCCAGTGTCCCCACCAAAGTGCCACTTGGCAAATTTTGGCAGAGGGTAGCCGCCAGGGCCGGAGCACCAGCTGAGGGACCACCTTGAGGAGATCTCCTGAGAGAAGGCTTCTGACCTGCCAACTCCCTGCTGTGCTCCAACCCCAGGTGCGGCAGCGAATCGGCTACTGTCCCCAGTTCGATGCCCTGCTGGACCACATGACAGGCCGGGAGACACTGGTCATGTTTGCCCGGCTCCGGGGCATCCCCGAGCGCCACATTGGCGCGTGTGTAGAGAACACGCTGCGGGGTCTGCTTCTGGAGCCGCACGCCAGCAAGCTGGTCAGGACGTACAGGTGTGCCTCAATCCCAACTCAGTGACCCCAGACCTTCCCAGGGTGGGGTTGGGGTATCCCTTACCATAGATCAGGGGGCACACGGGTCAGGGGCTCCCACCCATTGTTCCAGGATCCACAGGGATATGGCAGCAAGGCCCAGGCAGAGCTAGATGAGAAGGGCTACCCTGCAGGTACTCCCCTCTGGAGGCCCAGCTGGGCCCCCAGTCAGGCCCCTTTGGGTGCAGACAGGCAATGGTACTGCTCTCTGTGGGCTGCAGGCCGATCCCCTGGGCACAGCTCTTGAGGGCCTCCTGCTCTGTGAGGTGGGCCTTCCAGACATGTTCACCTTGCTCCCCTTTCCGGGGGCTCTGCCATCTCTGGGCTCCGTCCTCTGCTGGGACCTGGGAGTCCACACTAACTGTCAGCCTCGCCTTCACCCACGCCTCCTCGGCCCCAGCGGTGGCAACAAGCGCAAGCTCAGCACTGGCATTGCCCTGCTGGGGGAGCCCGCGGTCATCTTCCTGGACGAGCCGTCCACTGGCATGGACCCTGTGGCCCGGCGTCTGCTCTGGGACACCGTGGCACGGGCCCGAGAGTCCGGCAAGGCCATCGTCATCACCTCCCACAGGTCCAGCCAGGATGGGGGCTGTGGGCCGGGTGGGCCGGGAGGGGCTGGGTGGACAGACCTGTCAGCCTCTGGTGAAGAGTCTGTGAGGCGATTGGGCCACAACCTGCATGTGGGAATCAGGAACAGCTTGATCTGGGCGTCAGCACTCTCCCAGGTGCACGGTTTTGACGTGGAGGGCGGGCATCAGCATTCCCCGGTGCTATATCAGGCTCCGCCCCCTCTCCCCAGCATGGAGGAGTGTGAAGCCTTGTGCACCCGGCTGGCCATCATGGTGCAGGGTCAGTTCAAGTGCCTGGGCAGCCCACAGCACCTCAAGAGCAAGTTTGGCAGCGGCTACTCCCTACGGGCCAAGATCCGGAGTGACGGGCAGCAGGAGACACTGGAGGAGTTCAAGGCGTTCGTGGGCCTGACCTTCCCAGGTATGTGCCGCAGAGGGCGCCGTGCGTCTGTGCATCCCTGAGCACTGGGAACAGAGTCATGATTCCGGGGCCAAGACCACCCTCCCCTGGCCATCCAGCCTGGCCCTCAGGGGGACATGGTCTCTCCTTTGTGTAGGCAGCGTCCTGGAGGATGAGCACCAAGGGATGGTCCATTACCACCTGCCTGGCGATGACCTCAGCTGGGCGAAGGTGAGCTTGGGCCCCAGCAGGCCCCTAGCAGTCACTCCTTCTCCAGTCAGCTTTTTCCAAGGAACAGTCACTTTCAGTTTCTCACTCACCCCAGGACCTACTAGGTTTGGGGTATTTATAGCCAAAATATCTGAAATAGGGGGGAAAAAATCGGATGAAAAAGGGAAGTTGCAGAGGGAACACAGCTGGGAAGAGTCAGGGTGGGGTGTGGCACCCAGGCCTGCTCACCCCAGGCAGGGGTGGGATTTCCGGTGCCTTTCCCATCCCCTGTGGCCAGAGGACTCCCAGACCCGCCGAGGCTCCTGGCCCTGGCTGGCTGACAGCCGCTTTTCCACTCCCCCAGGTGTTTGGCGTTCTGGAAAAGGCCAAGGAGAAGTACGGGGTGGACGACTACTCCGTGAGCCAGACCTCTCTGGAGCAGGTCTTCCTGAGCTTCGCCCACCTGCAGCCATCCACCGAGGACGCGGGTCCGTGAGGAGCCGGGCGCTCGGTGGGCGTCCTCTCCGTCCGCACCCACCCCGCCCTGCACCTCTCTTCTGATCACTGTTCTCTACGATGGAGATGAGAATCAAGGCACAGCATGGACCGGGTGTGTCACTGCCCTCAAGCCAAGAAGCAGCCCAGGTGGGCCCGCGTCTCAGGTGGTCGCCAGCCCGCTCTCCAGAATCACGATCATCTGTGTGGGCAGGCCGCGGGTCTGGGCGGAGGGCACAGCCACACCCCCACGTTCGCACCTGGTGAAGCGGAAGGCTGGCAGGCTGGGGCAGCCAGCTCATGGGCTGCCTGGGTATGGACAGAGGGGTGCCTGTCGCCATCCCCAGGGGCCACGTGGCAGGACTAGACGCTGAGATCTTGGCTCCCAGCACAATCGCGTGTCCTGGGAGCCCCTCTCCGGAAACCGTGGACACTGCACCAGACAGAGCCAGCCCTGCACCCGGCGTCATCCCACTAGCGTCTTCCAGGGGGACTCCACGGGCCGGGAAGCCAGTCGGGGACCACCTGGGGCTGAGCGGCCATCCGTGGAGGGCGCAACTAACGCGCGGTGATTGTCTGGAAAATAAAGGCTGGGAGGGAAGGCAACCATGTCTGTGAGTCAGGAGATGGAGCCCGCGGCCCTGACACCCACCCAGCCCCAGACAAGCCTCTTGTATCGAGTTCCAGATGAGAGCAGGGGGACTTCCTGGTGGTCCAGTGGTTAAGACTCCATATTTCCAATGCAGGGAGGCTCAGGTTTGACCCCTGGTCGGGGAACTAAGATCCCACATGCTGCAAGGCATGGCCAAAAAAAAAAAAAGATGAAAGCGAGAGTTCGTTTTTCTCAAGTTGCAGTAAGTTTACAGAACTCACTGCTGCGGAAGAAGCCTAAACTGCAGGTACAAAAGCAGGTTGGATAAATGGCCCCTCGAGAGACCCTCCATCCAGGGTGAGGGAAGAAGAAGGCCGGGTTGGTGGAGGGTGCGGGTCTGGGTGAGCCCGGGGCCTCTGGCTCCAAGGTGTTGTAGGTGGAACACCATTTTCCAGAAATGTCTTCTTCAGTGTCAGCTCCCTCTTGATGGGTGCATCCTTATTTCTTACAGCTTTCTAAATTCCTGTGATTTGAATCTCTGAGCCTTTTACAGTCCCTTAGAATTCATGGGCTTAGAAAAGGTTTGTTTTCGGTTCCTTTGGTACAGTTTCAACTTTGCATTTTTATTAGTCTCTCAAAGCTTATGAATGCTGAAAATAGTTTCCAGTAGCTGTCTCTCCCTTTAAGGATCTTCAAAACATTCTCATTTAGTTACGTTATAAAAAAAAATAAATAAACACAGGAGTGGTTGCGGCCCTGAACATTGCCCAACAGCAAACGTCCGAGAGGTGGGCTGCGGCTTATCTGCAGGTGCGTGGCTGCTGCGGCCGGGTTGGGTTTGCCGGTTCTGCGAGGAGGACAGAGGCCAGCAGGGCTGGGCTGCGTGTCTCCCAGCAGCCCTCTTGCAGGGCATCCTGGCCTTGCTTTTAACCCCTATGATAAACTTTAGGAATTCATCATTTTTCCCTTCACTGCCACAAAACATGGTGTGAGGAAAGGTGCTCAGGACTGAAGGACAGCATGTGTGAGGCACGCATGCCGAGATCAGACAGCACAGTCCCGGGAAGAGGTGAGTTCGCTGACGGGAGATGAGGTGGAGACGTGCAGAGGAGACTGGCAGGATGAAAGCGGGGCTCTGATCCGAAACCCTGTTGGCAGGCATGGAAAGGAGGGTGTAGGCACAGCCTAGCTGCAGCAGCGGGGACCAGAGAGGAGGCACATGGCAGGTGGGAGACGAGCCACGCTGCACAGAGCTCTTGGCAATGTAGGGGAGTCGCTTAGGAGACACCCCAAGAGCCACAGATGGGTGCCACTGTTAGGGTCCACGTGGCACCCCCAGATTATCTGCAAGGCTGCTGGGAACCCAGCATTGGAGTCAGGTGTCTTCCAGAAGCCAGGATTAGGGCCTCAGAAGCCCACACCGCAGCCCTGGTGGTTTGCCTTGAGATGTGGCAGCTCCAAGCCCAGGGTTGGCGGCAGGACCTGCAGGCTCTCCAACAGAGGGGGGTCAGCCTGTTCCCCCCACCCCCACCCCCAGCATTGTCCACTCTACTCAGACCTCCCAGGCCAGGCAGTCCCTAGAGATGCTGGCCCCAAACGGCTGCCACGCCCACCAGGGCAGAGGTCATGACTTCCTTGCCTGCATGGCCTGGTCCCAGCTCCCAAGGGCTAGAGATCGCGACAGGGCTGAGAGCCAGGCCTGTGAAAGAGTCCTGCCCGCGGTGTGACTCCGCTGAGACGGTTGGTGGACACGGGGGCCATCCTTCAGCCTAACGGCTGCACCCAGAACCAAAGGCCCTCAGGAAGGAAGGGGGGTGGTGATGCCCAAGGGTTGGGGGCGGGCCTGAGGCCGAGCCCCTCCTCTGCCTTCACCGCGGGGAAGGGCTGCCAGGTAGACGGTCACCAGGGCAGCCCCTGTGGAATGAGACTGCACCGAGTCTGTTGAGCACACCAGAAAACCACACCGTAGGGGTTTACAAAGGACAAGAGTTTATTTCTCTGCTGAGTACAAAGTCCAGAGAAGGCAGGTGTTCTGTCACCGGTGGTCAAGGTCTCAGGGAGCCAGACTCACCTGCCTGCTCCATCGAGGTATAAGCCTTCCTCCTCAAGGTCACTTTCCAGGGTCGAAGGTGCCACCGAAATCCCGGATGACTGAGCAGGAAGCAGGGGGCGGAGCAGAAGGGCACAGCTCCTGACTGTTACATGCTGTGTGTCCCTGTCATCATCCAGAACGCAGGCCCACGGCCGCACCAGATGCAGGAAGCTGGGACACACAGTATTTTATTTAGCCAGGCATACCCCCGCCTAAAGAACCCCTGATACCAGGAGACAACCTCAGTCTCCACGGTGACTGTGCTGGGCAGGCTGCCTCATAGAGGAAGTGAACCTTCACTGTCCACCTGGGCTGATGAGACCCTGCCTCAGCCAGGAAGACCCGGGAGTGGCCTCTCTGCTGGTCTGTGACCAAACCCCAGGGTCCACTTCCCCACCTCACCCCCGCCAGAGGGCCCTAGCCCTGGCGCTGCAGCGGCTCAGAAAAGCCAAACAAACTTGACAGTTTCTGGGCAAATCCCGACCCCAAATCTTTAGCCCGGCACTTGAGAGGAAGCTAAGGTCACCCCAGTCTGGTGACCTTGGGGGACCCCTGGGCCCAGACTCACAAAGCAGCAGAAAGACTGAGGCAGAGAAAGCCCAGAAAAATGGGGGAGGGAGCCAAGGTCAGCACCTCCAGGGGAAGGCTGGAAGGCAGGTCCCCCAGCGCTCACAGACTGGGAAGGACCACACAGGCAGGTGGAGGAGGGGCCGGCCCCTCCCGCCTGGGCTGGACTCACCCCCAGCCCCGCTGAACTCAGTCCGGGTCCTCCAACACAGAGATGGTGGTGTCCTAAAGCCCCAGGGCACTCACTCAGACTTGACCCTGTGGGACCAGAGCCTGGGAACGCTGAGGGGGGCGGTTCCAAAAGTCTGACCCACGGCTAGACTGCCAGCCAGGGCAGTCAACTCCTGCGGCTTCATCTGAGGGACACCCCACACCATCTGCTATTCAGTTCACCTCTGGGGACGAGTTCGATGCTTGTGGCATGAGCCAGCAAGGACCCCTGGGACCCCCATGCCCACACAGATGGGTCAGTGTGAAGGTGAGTGCCACCCACCCTCATCCACACCCCGCTGTCTGTGCTAGGGGTCCAAGCTACACCTGCAGATGGGCCATCCTGGCTTGAGAGGCTAAACTCCACCCACTTCTGCATCAAGAAGACCCACAGGGGCGCCACGAGGCACCCCCAACACCAAGGTCAGGGTTAGGTTGTTCACCTGACTCCGCAGCTGAGGCCAGCAGGCCAAGTATACAGTGCCCACTCTCCAGACACAAGGCCCCATTCCCTGAACCCTAGCTCAGGTCTGACTGCAAGCTCCTGAAGTCCCTCTCCCTTCCCCAAGAGAGGGCAGGGCACCCTAAAGAGGGTTCAGGCTAAAGGTGGGCCGGGAGGTTGCCCAAAGAGGGGCATGAAGATGGCAGGGCCCCACAGGCCCCCCAGGAGAGACGGCCAGGAGGCAGCACAGCACTGGGCCGAGTCCCCTCGCGCCTGACGGGCACACGTGGCCTGGGCTCCGAGCAGGCGGCGCTGAAGCTGGGGTCAGGCCCAGGGAGCAGGGGCCCTGCCTTCCTTCCTCAACACACAGGGCTGCCCGGGCCCCACGGGTGCCAGCGTGAGAGGCCTCCAAGGTTGGAAAAGCCCCAAGTCCACTGGCTGCAGATGGCCAGAGCAGGCCTAGGGCCACAGCGGCTCACCCAGTGAAGGGGCACACCTGCCCCCTTCTCTGGCCGGGCCCTGCCCCAGGGTGGGCAGCTCAGATACAGTCATACCTGGTGCGCCTGACCTCTCCGGGGCAGGAATGGACATGGAGCTCCAGGCATGAAAGCCAGCACAAGCCCCCAGCCCTGCAGCCCCTCCTTCAGGCAGTCTGTGCCTTTCGGGGCCGGGGGAGGTGCTCAGGACCCGAAGCCCCCACACCGCGGAGACACAGAGCCAGGGAGGCCTCCCTACAGCTGCACACCCTCACAGGGCAAGTCCTTTCAGGCCCAGCCTGGCTCCCAAGACGGACAGGCCAGCACCTCCCCTTGGGCGCCTCCTCCTCCAAGGCTCCTTTGGGGGTTGCAGGCATTCACTCCTACAGACAGGAGTCAGTCCCCCTTGACCCACCTCCTCCTCTAATGCCTCTCCCAGGGTCACTGATACATTACAACCGCCCTGACCCCACCCAAACCCCTTTCTTCCACTTGGCTGGACCATGCCTGCCCTTGGCATAGAGTCTGTCAGCAGTGGGCAGACATGCTTCACAAGTGGATACAAATGCCTGCGCAAAGCTCCTGTGTGGCCCTCGTGAGCAACTCAGCGCAGGCACTCCCT